TTTTGCCTTATGTTATCACGTCCTGCGCCACACTACTTGACACTGCCCACTATGATGTTTTGTTTAACTTTCTCCGACTGGTTAAACTGAGTTTAGTACTACGATTATTCTTTTCTCTTTGTTTTGCAGTTCAGGTCTGTGTATTGTAAATAGTTATGCAGTTACTTTATACTGCTCACTGTAAGCCTGCATTGAGTGAGTGAGGACGGGGTCATCAAAGTTGAAGGGGTTTTTTTTTCTTTATTTTGAGGCAAGAAGTCATAAGAAAGCACTGACAGTGAACCCGAAAGTCAGTTAAGACTCTCTGATAGTGACTTGGGTTTTGCGTATGCTGCATCAGTTAACTGCATCAAAAATATTGTACATGTTTTACACTCTTAGTATTATCTATTGTACATTATACAAGGGTTGAAATTATCATGCAAATATTATAATTATCATACACCTGGCAGTGCTGGTGCGGGCAGCCCTCTTGCCCAGTCAGCATCCAGGGGTGGGGAGGCAGCAAACTGAAGGATATTTATACTGCTGCTTTTTGTTTTTTTCAACAGTTTTCCAAGTTAGGCCTTAGGTCTGTTCCTGTAGACTATTTACAGGTCTTCAGTATTCATAGCAATGTCAGGCCAGGCCTCTCTTGGTCTGCTATCTAGTACCATGTAAACCGGTATCGCCTGTTCCATGGTCAGGTTGTCAGCAACTAAACCAGCACCTCCACCTAGGCTTGCCTGAGTGAGGAGGGTGTGTGGACACCCAGCAGGACTGAAAACAAGACCTGTCAGTGGGCAGATATGCTCCCCACGAGCCAGTGGCCATTCATACTTGGAGAAGAGATGGACACCACCAGGTCACTGTGCCTGAAGAATCACTAATGATGCAAAGTAACATAACTAGGGTTGTTACAGCATCTGATGTGCCCCAGTGGTTTCAGCGGCCTCGGGGCTGTCTTGACTTGAGTGTTCATAGAATTCTAGCTTTCCTGGAAGTTGCGGTGCTGTCCTAGACTCCAGATCAATAAAGCTCTTTTTGTGGAAACCAGTTCCCTGCAATGAATTGCCATGTTTCATACTGTCCTGTGGCAGTTCAACCTAACAACATCCATGTGCAAGATTGCACTTTTTGCTTCTCTAAGTTTGGCCAAGATCTGTTAACTAGCTAATTAAATGTGGCCTAGGTATAGTGGTAGAAATTCCTTCAAATATACTGTTCTCTCCAGTGGACAAACCAACTACATGTCTGCCAGGACACTTGGTTTCAACCAACAGTCCTTCAATATTTAAATACAGATTAATCTTGGAGATGCACCTGGATTCTCAAATCTAAGGCATGTGAACTGTAACCAAATTCAGGTTAGGTAAATAATGGAGCTTTGACTGTCCCTCAGTTTGCAAGGTATTTATATTAATCACTTATAGCACAGTCAGAGAGACCTGGTGAAAAATATTTTTCCAAACAAGGAACTGTGGGATCATCTTCCTTATATCTTCCTTATATATGTTTACATTTATAAGGACTAGTGAATAGTATACTAGATCTGCTGAAATACCTTTACATCTATCAGGTTCATAAAACAACAAGCAGAGAGCTTCATCACACATGACCAGAAGTTGAAAGAGTTTTCTTTAGCAAGTATTGCAGAAGTTTCCTGCTGATCTCTTTGCTGCCAGTATGAACATAGAATGTTGGTTTACCTCTCAGGGAGAGGCGTACGCTCTGCTTTTATCACAGAGGCATTTGTGACTTGCTGGGAAAAGAATCAGACAATATTTTTCCTGCTTTTCTTAAGAAACCTGGTGATTAGTAAATGTCAGAAGAGCCCCCCAGTGAAAATGATGGCTTCAGTCTTGGTATGTCCATCCTGGTCCTTTAACCTGATGCACTCTTAGTTAGATAACCTCTTCAACTTCCAAAATTCCTAGAGATCCATTTGCTGTGCTGTGTGTGCAAGCTGGCCACATTCATTCGTAAGGATAGCCACAAACAAACCCTGTTTGAAACTTCTGTGGAAGGTGATTTTTGAAATTCCACATGAATTCAGCCATACATTTATCCTTGTTTTCTAATACATCTTAACTATCTGGGGAGATGCGAAGTACCACACTGAGTTCTGAGAGCTATCTCTTCTTATGTATCCTAGGACAAAACCATTTTGTAAATTGGACTGTTTGCTCAGTTCATAACAAATCTAGGCAGCAGGCTGTAATCATTTCAGACTGTTCAGATAGGTGACGGATTGTGTTAAGTTTTCCAGTTCATTAGGCAGCCCCTTTCTTTTTCAAGTTAAGGGTGCACATTTTTGGGAACTCAGTCAGCCTCTAGCTTACCCCAGGTTCCTCATCCTGGGATTTGCAGAGAATTTACATGGCATTTAGTCACTGGTTTGTGTCCTTACCCAGCCTGCTGATAGGGTTTACAGATTAGACATCCCCTTTGGGAGGGTTATCCTCCAGTTGATCAAAGTAGAACTCCCTCTTTCTTCCTCTTTTTTTCTTTCTCCCTTTCTTCTTTCCTCCTTGAAAGGCAATTGTTGGACACCTGTCTATAGATGGATCTGTGTAGACCTGTGATTCTTAACCAGGGTGTTATGGTAGACAAGATAAACGCAGAGATTCATGAGATTTCAAATAGTAATGCGTAGTGTCAAAAATGTTAACCTGTTATAGTTTTTTCTGACTTCTTTGCTCTGGAAAATTGTTCTATTTTTCTGTAGTCAAAAAAAAAAGAAAAAGCTAAGAGCTGGCTTCTTAGTATAGGCAGATACTTGAAAGAGCTCTTTGACATGCTTTTGTCCACAAATCCCATAACTTGTCCTGTTTACGGACTTCATAGCGGACCCAATCAGTAAGCATTCAAGCTATTGCTTCCCTGGAAAGAAATAAGTACAGGAATAATTCCTTGTTTTCTTGAAACTGGTTGGAAAAAACGATCCCTCTGCAGAAACACAAAAAATTACTTTGTCAGAACCAAAATTGAAAAACTTTTGTCCAAGCACAAATGTTTTCATTTTCTTGGGCTTATTTTTTTTAAAGGCCATGAGGGCACAGAGATGGTGCTGGTGGCAGGAAGGAGCCTCAGGGCAGCCCCTTTGCAGGCTCCAGGCGACTGCAGTGAGAAGGCCCCATTTGGAGTGAGGAGTTGTTGGCTGTGTCCACTGCCAGGTCCTACTCTTTTCCAGCATCCAGCTGCAGCTTCTGGCTGGTTGACACCCAGAGCTGGGCAGCAGCTCCAGCCCTTCTTCAGGGTAGAAGGGCAGCCTAGAGGCAGTGCTGGTGGTGGTGCAGGCCCAGGCTGAGCTGCCCCTGCCAAAGCGGTTGCATGCCCACGCCAGCTCCCCACCTACGGCCCCATCCCACATATGGAGGTTTGGTGCGCTATTCTGCCAGTCGCAGGGTTGGGGACAGTGCTGGCCTGGCCTGTGACAGCTCCCCAAAACTATGTGGCCTGCTGACCCAAATAATTACCCATTGCTGGCCTAGTGGTTTAAGCACAGACCCAGGAGCTAGGAGAAGTTTTGTTATCTGTGCTTCTGACTGACTGTCCATAACATTTTGCGCTTCTAAGCAGTTTATTTAGTAAGCTGGTATCAATACCATATTTTATATCCAGTGAAACAGTCTCAGTGGCTATAATATTCTCAAGTTCATGCAAGAAGTCTAGAACCAGATTAAAATAGTGAGTTGTCAGGCAAGTGACAACCACTTTCCTAGCTGTTGAAAGGAGGCAATAGAATAGTGTACCATAAATGAAATAAAAATACAAATGGCTTGATGTCTCCTACTCCAGCCAGGTAGGTAAGCAATTCATTTTTTTTTTCTCAGATTTAGAAATTCAGGCCTGGAATAACCTGTTTTTCTGAATCTGTTTTCCTGTCTGTAAAGTTAGGGAGTAGCTACCTTGACCTATTAAACTAGCTTGCATAGTGCTATCTATGTAATAACTACTTACTGACACTAGTAAATGGTAAGGTTTGGAGCCCAACATGAAACTACTTTCTTAACCTGCCAAGTACTTTTGTATTTGTCACACACATCAGAAAAACTGTAAATTTCCGAAAGGTCACACTCTGGATTTCTCTCTTTTGTGCAATTCAAAATATTAAATTGGATGATCTATTTTAGTACTGGTTCTAATTCTGTATTATAAGGATTAAATGAGTAGCCATTGTGAATAAGGACTCCAAATGTTTTTCTTTTGCTACATTTTGTAATTTTAATGGCTTGAGGTGCAGAGAAAAATAACAGTTCTTGTATCTTTAAGCACAGGAGTGTTTTTACTCCAAATCAAAGCATTTACATTTATTGGCTGTTAAGTTTTTTTAATAATTTATCAACTTTTTTCTTTGATTTTCTTCTTGCCATATGTTCAGCTAATTTCAAGGAACATACAAATTCTTCTGTTAACTTAATATTAACTTAATCTTTTTATACAAAGAACTTCCCCTCCCCCAAGGACTGTTGTACTTAATATGTGCTTGCATTTATGTAAAGAAGCCTCTCTTAATTCACTCTCTCTCTCTACTTTCACTTACGCAGGTATTAATGGACATGTTCCATCAAGATGTAGAAGATATAAGTGCACTAACTTTATCTGATGAGGAACCTTCCACCTCCGGGGAACAGACATATTATGATCTAGTAAAGTCATTCATGGCAGAAGTTCGACAGTTTATAAGGGAATTAAATCTCATTATTAAAGTTTTTCGAGAGCCTTTTATTTCCAACTCCAAATTGTTTTCAGCTCATGTAAGTATTATATTATGTTACAATTTTATATGTAGGAAATCTTGGCTGCATTAGTCTAAGTGAGCTTCTCTGGGACTTTGACACAAAATAAAATTCTCGTTTTATAGAAAATGCTAACAAAGCCCACCCCAAACCTCCCGGCTCCCCACTTCCATCCACCACATACCACTTTTTCAGCCAGAACAGTTTGTGATCAAAACCCACTGATTTAATATGCTGGTGCTGATGTAGAGCAAGGGGTAGCAACTTTAAAAGAAAAAGCTAAAAAAAGTGCATGGTGTGCATGTCTGTGTACTTAGCTGCATATATAGTATAGCAAATGGATTGTAGATAAGAACAGACAGGGAAAAGGCAGGAAGGAAGAGGCAGCACAAACACTGCATAAACACAAACATTATGGTTTGTGGTGAAATAAATTTTGAAAGAGAAGGCCAACTATTACTGATAGATTAGAGTGGGTGCAGCAACTGAAAATTAAACTTTTTTTTTTTTTTTTATTCAACCACCTGAAACAGAGAAACATGGTTCACTAATTCTGTAACTCGGAGGTTCCCAACCCTGGGCCGTGAAGGGTTGGCTGCTGGACTGGAAGTGACAGACGTACTGTGGACTGGCAGCTGACTGGCTGCCGGTCTGCAGTATGCCAGTCACTTCCAGGCTGCGGTTTGCCGGTCCATGGTTTGCTGGTCCACAGTCTAAAAAGGTTGGGAACTACTGTTGTAAGAGACTCATGAGACCTTCTAAGCAGCTTAACCCTGGAGCCCCCCAACTCTTTGCATTTTTCAAATATGGGAGTAGGATAAAGAATATGCATCTCCTGTAAAGCACTTCAAAAACTGCTAGAAAATGCAGCACAACAACAAAGATTTAATGCGGAGACAATAGAAGATGATTCAGACACTGCCTTTAGGTCTTAAATTGATTATTTGAGGAACAAGAAGGGGGGATCATCTTTTCCTCTTTGTTCAACATTGTGCAGATAAAAATAAAATGTATTATTGGACAGCAATCTGTTCTCCAGATTCACTGTTTCCTGAAACATCAGACAGTGTCTGCTGTATGATTCTGAACAGTGTGGACTAGTACTGTGTCACAGTATGATGAACAGAATTTATCAGACTGTCCACATGCTTTCTAAACCATGAACCTTTGCTCCTTTTTGTAAGAGTCCTGAACAGTACAGAGAAATCCTCGGCCCTACTAAAACTGGTGGGGACAGAACTTCATCCATAGTGCACAGAAGTTGGTATGTGTGCAAAAGAATGAAAGCTAAAGAAACTGGGTTACTTAAGAGAAACAGAGTTGAAAGGTTCAGGTTACTTCCTCAACGGGTTCACTATTCTTCTCTGTAAGGCATCAGTGGGTCCAGAATACAAACTGAGAAATAGCACATTACTTTGAGGTGGGGGTTAATACTGTGTCATATTGAATAAGGCAGGCTGACATTTGGGTCATTATTGTGATGTATGTGGAAGAACAGAGTATTTTTCTTACACAGAATTTAAGTTACTTAGCTATAAGATGGGTGGTTCCCTCCACCAAGTCAACTCTTTACTGTTTCCCACAAGTGTTGCGTTTTGATTTTTGTTTGTCATATCTGTTTTCTAACATATTTGTAATCTTGCTCTAATTGAGAAACAAATCAGTGTTCAAACTACTACTGAACAAGGAGCTTTATCTGCATGCTTTATATTTGGTTTTCAGAGCCTTTTTTCACTTTCTGGTTCTATTGTTTTCTGTAGGACGTTGAAAATATATTTAGTCGTATATCAGATATTCATGAACTTAGTGTAAAGTTATTGGGCCTTCTTGAAGATACTGTAGAAATGACAGATGAAGGTAGTCCCCATCCTTTAGTAGGCAGCTGCTTTGAAGACCTAGCAGAGGTAAGTAATCACATTTACATTGGTTATACATTTTTTGTTAAAAACTATATGTAATTATATTTAGAATATATATTTTTTTAAAAGCAGACCTTTTGAAGCAGTTCAGTGCCTGTTTGTTCCAGCTGTCTTTACTGGCTATGTCTTTACTGGCTATGTTGTCTTTTACAGAGTGGTTCTTGCAGGGTAGATTTTTCCTATATTTCAAGATACGGAATGGGGATTGGCAACTTTTTGGTACCATGGGCTGTGTCTTGCAACCCAGTCCCTTCTGTTGGCTGCAGACATTCACACCACTCAACGATCAGCAGATGCAGCAGAGAAAGTAGATGGAAAAAGCAGAGAAAAAAGATAGAAAAGGTAGTGGGACCCTGGGGATGCTCCCTCTGTTGCTTTGGCTGGAATGTGCTGCTGATTCCCAGAGCTGCTGCAGGCCAGATCCGATCTCTTCATGGGCCAGATCTGGCCTATGGGCCATAGGTTGCCAATCCCTGTTTTAAGTGTTTTGTTCGTTGGAGGCTGCTAAACATCCACTCGTGCTTTCAGTCCCTGGGTCAGTCTAAGAGAGGTTGCGATGCTTAGCTGATAGGATTCCTTCTTATTGGCATTAAGAGTTAAAAGAAGAAAGTCTTACTAGAAATAAAGAGCAAATGCTTTAGATTTGGGCAAGTGAAACTTGGTCTGCAGACATGAAGATGAAAGTAAAGGATGTCTGAGGCTCTGCTTCATAAGACTTAAATGGAAGTTTAACTTTACAAACTGACAGATGATAATGTAGAAGTTAAACCTGTGCATAAGCATTTGCAAGATTGGAACCTAAACCTATGTTTTGTTTTGTTTTCCTACTAAAACAAAAAAAAATCCTTATTTTTACCAATAATGTGATGTTTTGGTACTAAATTTTTTTAAAATTTTCTCGGGAATCTCTTTTAGGAACTAGCGTTTGATCCATATGAATCATATGCACAAGATATATTGCGGCCTGGTTTCCATGATCATTTTCTAAGTCAGTTATCAAAGCCAGGAGCAGCATTCTATTTACAGGTAAGTACTTTTAAAATCCACTCAAAGATACTTTTTAAAGAATGTATCAGACTCTGTGTTACAGAACCACAACTATAGTTACAAGCTTAAAACCTCTTTTCTGTTTTGGTATTTTTGTTTTTGTCCCCAGTCCATAGGGGAAGGCTTTAAAGAAGCTGTTCAGTATGTACTACCCAGGCTGCTGCTGGCCCCTGTTTACCACTGTCTTCACTATTTTGAACTTTTAAAGGTAAATATAAAGATTTCTTTTTACTTGAACCTGAATAATAAAAAGTGCAATGAAACATGGATGATATGTCCTTTGAAAATAGAGAACATTTTGTACAAGTATAGTCATAGTGTGTAGCAATTCATTTTGGGTTTTTTTCCTTTGGTTTTTTAAAATACATTGAGTAACACTGGTGTCTTCACATTTTGAAAGATGCTTTTAAGTTGCTGGTAACTTTTTGCATGTACTTCTAGAGTGAAACTAATGCTTGGTGAACAGTGTTAAATACAGTGAAAATCAATGAGAAAATGACTTTTCTCAGAGATGAAAAATATCTGGGCCTACTGGAAGCTGAGATTTATAAAGTAACTACAGTCTAGTTTCCAGATAATTTTACTGGAGCCCAGTTCTTTCCTTTTAATTTTTGTCTCTTTGGAGTTGTATCTGCATGTTTCCACTTGTGATATACCACTTGTGATGCATTTGTGCTCATCCCATGACTGGGAACGTGCAGTCCATACAGAAGTAATGGGGTGAGGGCCTCACCTTCAGTTATCAAGTTTATTTTTTTTCTGTGAATGTTTGGGCTGTGAGCTGTAACGGACACACGGAGATAAACTTAGTACAAAAGAAATGTACAAATATGTTGGATTTAACAAGTATTACTCAATAGAGTAATTGTTTTAAAAAGTAGAATATCTTGCTTAATAAGGCCTACTTCCCCTCAAAAAAAAAAAAAAAAAAAAAAA